TCCTGCTGACGGTCCCTGTCCTCCCGGCTCCGTCTCTCACCACGCACCACCCTCCTTCATGTCCTCACCACCCAAACTCTTCATGCTCGCTGCTCCCATTTACAACACAACACAAACAACTGTAAACACACTCACTAAAAACAGTACTCATTCTCAAGCAAACCAGATGAAGTTATTGAAAAAACTTTTAAATATAAGTTTTGCATCCCGACTATAAGACCTCCACACTCCTCATGCAACAACTTGCCATGTAATATCACTTTGTCATTCACATGTTGTTATGAAAAATGTGTATGGTAAACAAAACTTCTTGTTTACCCCAAGCAGCCTGTCAGGGCGCCTGACAGCTGGGTGGACAGCGTTTCGGATTCGTAGTCCTGAGGTTCCGGGTTCGATCCCCGGTGGAGGCGGAGACAAATGGGCAAAATGTTTCTTTCACCCTGATGCCCCTGTTACCCAACAGTAAATAGGTACCTAGGAGTTAGACAGCTGCTACGGGCTGCTTCCTGGGGTGTGTGTAACAAAAAGGAGGCCTGGTCGAGGAGCGGGCCGCGGGGACGCTAAGCCCCGAAATCATCTCAAGATAGATATCTCAAGAAGATAACCCTCCCCCCTCTTGAGGCACGTGACGTCACAGCAGCGCGCCCCCTGCATATAAGCATTGTGTGAAGGCTCTGGCTGGGGTCAGTTGACGCTGGCTTAATGTTAAGTCAACATGGGACACGCAGCCTAGCGACTCGTCTTCTCGCTTAATAGGTCACCTTCGTAACGGAATCGACCAATCTGATAAAAAAAAGCAATAGGTGAAGTGGGTTGCTAGGGGTCGCACGTTTCTGGCTAGGCAAAACAGTCGCATTTGTAACGGAGTGGCAAATCGAGACCAGACTGAGTAACCAACTCCAGCAACGGCTCTCCCATTTATCATCAATATTTATATTGTAAGAACATTTAGGTTGTTTTAAAGGACGAGCTTTCCTAAAACCGGCATAAAACACACAGGATGAGTGTATTTTGTGCCAGGTATCCTATACCTGATCAACCAGGCTGTGACTCATACGTCAGGCTGCGAGCAGCCGCGTCCAACAGCCTGGTTGATCAGTCCGGCAACCAAGAGGCCTGGTCGACGACCGGGCCGCGGGGACGCTAAGCCCCGGAAGCACCTCAAGGTATGAGGTCCTTGTAGGGGGTAGAAATAGTCTAAGCTACTCTATCCCTTTGAGATGTATTTCTTTCTTGTCTCAATAAACATACTTGAACTTGATGAGGTCCTTTAGCAAGCCGTTTAGTCAGGATGACACCAGTAACTGGATGGGTGAACTCATGGACACAGCCTCACCTTTGTAGTCACACTCCTGGGTTACGTTAACTTCACACCGATCACCTCTACCGTTAGGAAGTGTATATGTTTATCTCTCTCAGAATGTTCGGTAATACGTTTATTGCTTGTGATGTGTGTATGTGTGTATGTATGTATTAACACGATGTACTGAACGGGGTGAGAATAGCTTGAGCTAACTCATCCCTTTGTGTGTATTTTACCTCAATAAACTTATTTCAATTTCAATTCAATTTCACCTCTACCGTCGTCAAAAACACATTCCGAAGTGACAATATAAAGTAATAAAAAAAACCTATTGAAGATAAAACTCCGTAACTCGGGGTTTAGAATTACTGTACTTGATACTTGTGATTGAGCTGAGCGAGTGCTTACGTTGGCATCAGCTCTGATGTGTAGTGGTAAGACACTCGCCTGGCGTTCCGCGAGCGCTATGTCATGGGTTCGTATCCTGGCCGGGGAGGATTTACTGGGCGCAATTCCTTAACTGTAGCCTCTGTTTAACGCAACAGTAAAATGTGTACTTGGATGAAAAAACGATTCTTCGCGGCAGGGGATCGTATTCCAGGGACCATAGGATTAAGGACTTGCCCGAAACGCTACGCGTACTAGTGGCTGTACAAGAATGTAACAACTCTTGTATATATCTCAAAAAAAAAAAAAAAAAAGTGGTGAATAGAAAGGTTAGCTGGTCTACCCCCCCCTCCCCACGAAGGATATATATACACACAGAAAGGTGTACTTGATTGATTGATAAAGATTAAGCCACCAACGAGGTGGCACGGGCATGAATAGCCCGTAAAAGGTGTACTTGATTGATTGATGAAGATTAAGCCACCCAAAAGGTGACACGGGCATGAATAGCCCGTAAGTGGAGGCCCTTTTGAGCCATTACCAGTATCAAGAGCTGATACTGAAGATCAGTGGAGGTGTGAATGCACCCTGCATGACGGGAGATGTCTCCGTTGTGAATGTGTTGAGGTGTACTTGGTACCAAGCTGCATATATACTTCCTGTACCCATCCCATGAGATGACGGGAGACATCTCCCGTCACGCAAGGTGCAGTCGCACCTCCACAGATCTCCAGTATCATCTATTGATACTGGTAATGGCTCAAAAGGGCCACCACTTACGGGCTATTCATGCCCGTGCCACCTCTTGGGTGGCTTAATCTTCATCAATCAATCAATCCCATGAGATAAGAACATAAGAACAAAGGTAACTGTAGAAGGCCTATTGACCCATACGAGGCAGCTCCTATTTATAACCACCCAATCCCACTCATATAAATGTCCAACCCACGTTTGAAGCAATCGAGGGACCCCACCTCCACCACGCTGGGTCAAGTCATCTCGCTGTATCCATCCCAAGGCGAGGCTGACCAACTTGCTGTATCAAACGTCCACCAGCCTCACTCAGCAGGCAAGAAACACCCCACCATCCACCCCCCGCTTCCCCGCAGGCAAGCACACCACCCACCCCCGCTTCCCCGCAGGCAAGCACACCACCCACCCCGCTTTCCCGCAGGCAAGCACACCACCCACCCCGCTTTCCCGCAGGCAAGCACACCACCCACCCCGCTTTCCCGCAGGCAAGCACACCACCCACCCCGCTTCCCCGCAGGCAAGCACACCACCCGTGGTCATAAAGTGGTCAGCTCAGGTGACCCCACCAGTGGCGGAGACACCAGCCATGATACCTTCTGTAGTCACCAGACACCTTCCCTCCCACACATACACACGGCAAATGTCGTCCACTCCATGTTTAACACATCTCTAACCCTGTCCATGGAGGACAGAAAAAAAATGTATATATGCTGGTTTTCATTGTAAATGTGTGGCCACGTCTGTGGTAGAAAATAATAATAATAATAATAAAAACTCCGGCAGCAGATCTCGCAGGCATTACCCCAAGTGCACGACTGAAGCGGTGCTCTCTGCACCCTCAACTTGCAAGCTGAGCACAGAGCAGAAGCGGAGGAGAGTAAAGGAACACCAATAAAGGAGAGGAAAGGAAGAGAAATTGCAGATTAAGAAAAGAAGAGGGTAAGAGAGAGGAGAGAAATGAGAGAAGATAAAGGCGTAATAAAGTAATACACACACACACACGAAGTGGGTGAAAAGAGAAGAGGTGGTCAAATGATCAGATGAGGAGAAAGAGGAACACATCAAGGAGAATGAAAGGATGTGCATAGAGAAAAATACAATAATACGAAAGAACAAGAAAGAAGAAGAATGCTCAGGGATAAACTGATAATCCCCAAACCACAACCACGCTCACGCACCTCCACTACTACCTGTCACCCCTAACCTCTCGTCCGCCACCTGCTGCAACTTCCATCATGGTGGTGGGTGACAGGGGGGGAAGGAAGGTGGTGGGTGACAGGGGAGGGA